TTGCGCCTCTTGCAAGAACTTTCGCAACTCATGTCGTGGCACCGATACTGTGGCCTCGATTCTGCAAACTTTGCGCGCAGGATCTTGACTTGACGTATCTTGACTGAATATCTTGATAATTTCAAGATGCAGTCCATCGCCGCTCAAACTAGAACATCTAGAACTATAGAAACCTTTGCAAACATTAGACACATTAGAAACTTGGAAATCTAAGCTATTTCTGTTTGATTTGCTGAGGAGTAGGCATCACCATTGGGCCTTGGTTGGCGGGATGCGGGACCTATCCTCTCCTGCCATCCTGCCAGAAGCTACAGCCTTTTGCTTGGCCTCCGGCCCTGCCACAGGAACGGCTATGACCTGGCAGTTCCAGCTTCAACAAATCTCTCAAACAGAACAGAATAAGCATGTTAGTTCCACTGCTGGCTGTATGCCACTTGCTGCTTCAGCATGTTCCAAAGAAACTGAAGCTTAAGTGAGTGCGAAGACTCAGAGGAGATGGCTCCTTGGGCTATTCCCTGATGCTGTGTATACCATTGTATGGCAGAAGCAGGGTCAACATTTATCACATTCAAAGGCACATGTGTTGGATGGGACGTAAACGAACATCTAGCGCAAGCAGCAAGACTTGCAACATCTTGCAACCTATCACGAACGAAAATGACAACACGCCTCGCGCCAGGTCTTTTTCTTCTTGGGCCTTTCAGAATCCTTGTAGATCACAGGCAAGTCCTGCCATGTGGCACGTTCACTCTGTGACGGAGAGTACAAAGAATCGCATTCAGCAGATCCACTTCCTTCATCCTACACCTGAGGGCCACTGCACAAGTCGATGTCAAAATACTGCCATGAAGGAAACTTGGCACTTGCCGTATTTATCATTGACTGGACGGGAACTAAGCCATGATATGCCATGATATCTTGCGAAGGAGAAACAACAGCCATTCTGAAGCGCCCTTCCATGGACCTTCTCTGGTGGCTTCACCACAACATTCACCAAGTTGTGCAGATTCACCAGCAGTTTGCAGACCTCGAAAGGCTCAAAAGCTGGCAGCTTCAATGGTGGAATTGGTGGAAGGAGACATGTTTCAATCAGGTTTTTTCAATATGCATATTACGCTGCCTGTTCACGCAGAAGATCGGTGTTGCAGGCTTTCTCCAAGGCCTGTCAAGAGTTGATCCACTCACAACACGTGTCTCAAGCATCGTATTACTGGCTGAATCAGAATGATTCACCAGTGGAAAATAGCGGGAATAAGGAAGGCCATCTAGGGATGATTCCCCTTCCTAACCATCATTCCAGTGACGTCACAGTGATCTCATTATAATTCAGCCAGATATAGCATCATGCTCCCTATGCCTGATGTGACTTGTGCCATTGGTGTGTGTGTGTGTGTTCTCCGTGATATCGCGCCTCTTTCAAAACATCCTGAGCCTCTTCCCGACGATTCATCGCCGCCAGAGCGCACGCACGACGGATCCAGGCCTCAGGGTGACTTACATTGCTGCTGTCAGACTGACACCTAGAACATCCTAGAACTAAGGCACCCCACCTTCAAATATCTTGGCTCCAATTCACACGCTGCTTTCGCGTCCTCGCACCGCTAACTAACTTGTAAGGACCGAGGAAACATGTTGTCTAGGTATCAATGCAGGGAATTCCCAAACAATCTGGAGGTTTCTCCAAATGGGGGATCCCCAAGTCACCGTGCTTGTTTCAATACCAAGTCATGGCCATCCATGACTTAGATGATTTGGGGCTACTCCCATATTTTAGGACACTATTTATAAATAAAATGTGTATAAAACAAGTTGTTGCTACAGAATGTGGTGGCTTCACATGTTTTCCGCCTCGGCCGCCTCAGCATAGGCATCCAATCGTAAATAGGCTAAGGCCTCAAGATGCACGAAATCCATGACCCTGAGGATTTCGGAAATGACTTTTTTCTGTCAGTACAGCAATGATAATAACCACCCATCTTGTTAATTAAGGCTACAGTACCTTTTTTAAAAAATGGGGGGTGGTGGATTCATGTGGATCCTATTAAGCTATTGCTTTACTCACATTAGTTGAATCAGGTTGAACCTTTCCATCCCAGGCTTCCGAGCACGACTGGCAAATGCGATGGCCCGAAAGGGCTGCAATGCTTTGGGGCCGCGCTGTGGGAGAGGCCTTGGAACACGCAGCAGCTGATTCGGCAGCTGTTCCGCTTGAGACAACTGGAACATCCTGAGACCAATCTAGACTCACCAGCTATCCTATCATATCCTATCTATATATCCTAATGCTAATCAGGATCATGACACCCTTAGGCCTAATGCTATCTTTCAAGTGACCAACCCCAGATAAATTCGTCCGTTCATCCGTATTGGCTTGACTTGTCATCCCCAATCAACCAGCCCGTAGGATCAGCCCGTTTGAATTCACCAATCCACAGGGTTCCCAAACATTCCACGGGCCAATGCTCGCAGTTGATAGCCATTCATAGCTGGAGACTTTTCCACCTGCAGCGCAATTGGCAAAACCATCATTCAATTAAACCTCATTGGCACAAAATATGTCTTGTGTGACGGCCAGGGAAACTGGACACATAACATGCCATAGTGACTAAATCAGTGAAATCACACACTAATTCATTAGTTTGGCATATTCTGGTCACAACAGAATCCTGCACTCTTCCAACAGAATTGCAAACCGGGGACACCAAGGCTCCCGGATTCCCCCTTTGGCTCCCAACCTCAAGGAAGTCCACCATGTCACGGGCATGATCCAACGCCTTAAACGCGCCAACCCGCTGGGATGGGATGAGGTCCTGAATCCCGGATGGGAGCACTACACTACGCCATGACAATTTTGTTTCCACACAAACCAGCACCCTTTTGAGGCGAATGGTCTGCAACACAGCAGAAGCAACCAAATGTGAACCTCGAGTACAATCAGTTTTTATATACAATTGTATAGTTATAGTTATATACATATATAATTACATATCTATTTGAAGTCCAAAATTCCGCATTGAGTCCCGAATAGATACCGAGGTCAACACATGGCTGTACTCTTTGACAGCATGTCGAAATTCTCCCTTTTCCATTGCCATATTGCCCTGCCAAAGAAGCAAACCAGCAGCAAACCTCTTGCCACCAAGGACATATTCAAATCATGAGGTGTTTGTTGAGGTCTGCAGATTTGAGCAAAGAGTGGATAGAGTCCCCTAGAACCGGCAAGCCTTCCGACCAAACATGCTTGATACTGACCTTGCCTGCTCTCTGCGTCTCACCGCATTTTCCTGGCACCATTTAGGACCAGGATCACATCTCATCGCACAAAAGGTCCGCAGCTGGAGATTTCTGTGTGTGTTGTGCAACAATCAGGGAACTTTGCGAGAGTTTCTCAGCAAAAATCCTGCGCTTCATGTTTCTCGAAATGCAAAGAAGCGTTTCATTTGGGCAGCTGGAGTGTTTAACTGAATGCAGGAAGCTTCCAAATATTTTCAACTCATCAAATCCATTCAAATCCTCCATGCATCTGATAACTATTGATAATCCAAATCATTTCTCAGGAAGCCTCCATGGACGTCATGATGGATTTCAGCTCTGCCTCATGCAACGCCTAAGGAATGAAGGAAGCTGGCAGAGGAAAGAAGGCTCCACAAACAGGATGGTCTACTCCCAAAATTACTGACACATGTGATTTTTTTGAAAGTCTTCACCAGTAGCAGGATATAAGTTGCAACAGCTATATACAGTATATAGATCTATATATACCAATACTGTATAGTTCAGACAATAGAATCAGCGGTTTCACCAGTATAACTTACAACATCTTACAACTGCCTTCATGCGAAGAAGTTCTGCAGAGGCGGAGCCCAGGTCGGAGGTTGCGGGCCTGGCGAGGTCAAAACTTACCGTAACCTGGGTAAATGGCTGGTAAATAGCTGGCAAATAGCTGGAAATTTGACATAACCATGTAAACTATGCTTCAATTAATGTCAAGGTTTCACAGTTTTACCTATGATTTGAAGAATGAACTCGAAATGTTGCAATGGAACGAGGATCAGCCATGAATAATCAATATGAATCAATCCCACAATATGGTTCTAACATGTTCCAACAACAATATGCGCATCCCCACATATCCCAACTACTAACAAATGGACGATCAGACCCCGTGCCTGAGCCCATCTGAGCCGGCGTGAAAAATGGACAAGCTCTGCATGGCAACGGCTCCCAGAGGCTCCGCAGTTCAAACGCCACACTCCAGCTGGGTGGTAAAGCTCCAATATGGAGCCAACTGCTTGGTCAATTTTTGATGTTTTCTGGCGTCAAATTCGGTCTTTGGGGTATCCATCCTAGCTGTCTCTGGAAAGTTTGAAGTGCCCCTGTTTTTTTTGCATAGCCTAGTGCAGTTTGTATTGTGTAAGTTGTAGAGTATGGACTTGTATGGAATTGTATGGACATGTATGATTTCTTAAAAAACCATCTATGCTGTTTGGTTTGCTGCATCGAAACTCACACGGGCATGATCTTAAGATATCTGAAGTCAAACTCCATACGAACCGACAGAACGTTCAATCTGTTGCTATGAAAGGCAGCCTGCCTTCGCTTGGATTCGACGCCTGGAGCTTTTCAAATGAGTGGCTGGGTACAAATGGCTTTGTCAATAGGGCACCAGTGCCTCAAAATCACATGTCATGTCATAGTTTACTTGAGAGGGGGAACACGAAAGGTAGGTAAGCAAGAAAGGAACCGAAGAAAAAATGAAGGGGAGAGGGGAGGGAAAAATACATAAAGTGGAGTCTGGTAAAAGCGACGCGGCCATTTTCTTTCCAAAAATATGAAGGGGAGTCTGCTAAAAGCGACTGAAAGGCTTCGGCGATGTGGTTGGGGTTGGTGGTGGTTGTGGTGTTGGTGGTGTTGGTGGTGCTGGTGGTGTTGGTGTTGTTGGTGGTGGTAGTGTTTCTGGTGTTGTTAGTGTTGTTAGTGTTGTTAGTGTTGTTGGTGTGGTTGGGTTTGTTGGTGGTGTTGGTGTTGTTGGTCGTGTTGTTGGTCGTGTTGTTGGTGTTGGTATTGTTCGTGTTCGTGTTGTTGTTGTTGTTGCTGTTGCTGTTGTTGCTGCTGCTGCTGTTGATGGTGTTGTTGTTGTTGTTGTGGGTGTGTGGTTGTTGGTTGTTGGTGTGTGGGGGGGGGGGGGGTGGGGGGGGGGGGGGAGGGGGGGGGGGGGGTGGGGGGGGTGGGGGGGGGGGGGGGGGGGGTGGGGTGGGGGGGGGGGGGGGTGGTGGGGGGGGTGGGGGTGGGTGTTGGGGGGTGGGGGGGGGGGGGGGCGTGGGGGTGGGGAGGGCGGGGAGTTGGGGGGGGGGGGGGGGGGGGGGGGGGTGGGGGGGGGGGGGTGGGAGGTGGGGGGGGGGTGGTTGGGGGGTGTTGGGTGTGGTTGTGTGGTGTGTGGGTGGTGGGGGTGTTGTGGGTTGTGTGGTGTTGTGGTGTGGTGTTGGGGGGGTGGGGGGTGGGGGGTGGTGCGGGGGGGGGGGTGGGGTTGGTTGTGTGTGGTTTGTGTGTTGGTGTGGGGGGTTGTGTGTTGGTGGTGTGTGTGGTGTGGGGTGGGGTGTGTGGGGGGTAGTGGTGGGGGTGTTGTTGTTGTGTGTTGTTGTGTGTTGTGGTGTTGTTGTGTGTTGTTGTGTGTTGTTGTGTGTTCTTGTGTGTGTTGTGGTGTGTTGTGGTGTGTTGTTGTGTGTTGTTTGTGTTGTTGTGTGTGTTGTTGTGTGTTGTTGTGTGTTGTTGTGTGTTGTTGTGTGTTGTTGTTGCGTTGTTGCGTTGTTGTGTGTTTCGTGTGTTGTTGTGTGTTGTTGTGTGTTGTGGTGTGTTGTTGTGTGTTGTTGTGTGTGTGTTGTTGTGTGTGGTTGTGTGTGTGTTGTTGTGTGTTGTTGTGTGTTGTTGTGTGTGTTGTGTGTGTTGTGTGTGTTGTGTGTGTGTTGTGTGTTTTGTGTGTTGTGTGTTGTGCGTTGTGCGTTGTACGTTGTGCGTTGTGCATTGTGCGTTGTGCGTTGTGCATTGTGCGTTGTGTGTTGGTGTTGTTGTTGTTGTTGTTGTCGTCGTTGTTGTTGTTGTTGCTGTTGCTGTTGGTGTTGTTGTTGTTGGTGTTGGTGTTACCCCTGCAGCGTTTTTGCTCGGTTCCGTAGTGGCCGAAAATCGTCAAATCGGTGGTGTTTTCGCGTGTTTTTGCAACTCTCGGAGCAAAAAACACCGTAAATACCGATGTTTTTGGCGGGTCGGAAGCCCAAAACCACAGTATTTACGATGTTTTTTGCCTCTGGTAGTAAAAAGCACGGTATTTACAGTGTTTTTTGGCCAGCACCTAGTGGGGTGAAGAGGGGCCCTAGCGTCTACTTCAAGATCAGCTAAGGCGTCTTCCCCAATGACAGCACTCTTTTACTCTCAGCCTGTTGCCGGTCAGTGCTTGTCTACAGGGTTACTCTATATACCTCTTTCTTGAGCCTTGAAGGTGCATATAAATGTGCTCAATACTCATGCATGTACCTATGTAGGTATTAGGTCGAAACAAAAACACAGGCACAAATTCAAAAGCAATGAGTAGAGCACTACGCCTTGCCGTACCCAATTGGTATTAAGAGTATCTTCCTGACTTCTCTACACAATGGCAAATAGCAAAAGAAACCGGAGTTACGCAGTGGCTTCGAATTGAAAAACACGTGAAAGCAGCGAATGTCCTAAGGACATGTCGAAAAAGAACAGCGGATTCGCTAATTTTTCCAGTAGCGACCAATGGTGCTTCGCGCACGGTCTCTCCACAGGCAAAATGCCTTGCTCTACCGGTGAAATTTCGAATTGAAAAGTTCGGGTTCGCAAGATTCAGAAATTCAGGTCATACAAAAACAATTGACCAAATCACGAAATAAACGGAAATAGCGGATCTCCAAAGTTGCTCATTCAAGCAAACAATGGACTGAAATCGAAGTTGGTAATTTTTGAAGTTCGCTCCATTCGGAGTGGTCTGCTCGCCGGATGATTCATGGAGATAAATGTATATAGTATCTCTATTTACAAGAGTCTCTATTTTACATTAAATTGAAGTTCAGACCCTTGTGGCATTATCTCTATCTAAAAGAGTATATGCCATCTGTGTGAAATAAGTTGAACGCACAGAAAAACTGTACACGGCTTCTCATGCTGTGTTATCTTCAATTAAAGAAGTGTACACTCACTCATCGCCACTCACTTGATCTCCATGGTCTGGACGCTGAAGATGAGGATCCACCCCACTCTGTGTTGCCCTGATACGTCGATGCTTGATCTTCATATGCCTTTCTCTTTTTCTCCTTCTGTCTTTCCTTTCTTGAATCAGCATACTGCTTCTTCTTGTAGGCCTGTTTGTAATGATGTCGTTCATTCCATGACATATCAGAAGGATCAAGATGAATAAGAATTGGATTATGAGCATCGCGGTCATTTGGGGCAACCATGAAGATGTTGTGATCACCATGTAAGCAAGTTTCATTTACCTTGAAGTAAAATTCACCCACATAGTTCATGTGATCTTCATCCTCAAAAGTCTTCTTGGTGTTCCTCACACATCAAACGTGAATGACCCCACTCAACAACTGTTAACATACAACAATCACCTTTACCATTTGTCTTGTTCATGAGCTCGTCGGTGTATGTTGCTGTTGTAATGCCATCCAAGTGCGTTGCAAGAAAATCCAAGTCACGATAATTGCAAGAAATGAAATGCTTGACCCTGATTGGAGGGCAAGTTGGATCAAAATTCTTGCGCATGGCTTGTGTTGCAACACCTACCATTCTGTTAATCCAGAATTGGATAAGGCTGTGTTGATATGTAGGGACACCTGGAGATTTTGGTGTGCTGTAATAGCATGCCTTGTTTCCATCACCTGCGATGAAGTCAACTTGATATCTGGCACACTCAAAAGCCATAACAGCTAAGCTCTCACCAACAATCCCAGCAGAGTCTGATGCATACTTCTGTCCGACGTGATAAACGCACACACGTGTCATTCTCATCCTAGCTCTTGTCAAGTCAACAATCTCATCTGTATCTCGATCCTTTGTCTTTCCACAAGATACTTCAAAGATTGCCCATGAGACTTGTCGAACTCGTGTGTCGCTGTCATCTGTGTGATATCCAGCAATTTGCTTGATATAGCCATCCTTTCCAAGGCGAGCTGCCACCATCAAGTCATGATAGTCATTGAAGCAAGTTTTGAAGTCAACCTCGTTGAGTCTTTCTCTGTGAGGATACAACGAACCAGCCTCGCAATTCATGAAAAGATGTCCTCCAAAGTTCTTGATGACATTGATGAAGTAATTGTTGAACTGTGATTGGGTTTCATCAAATTTTTCATGATCCTCATCGATAGTGTAGTCAATGTGTGGAATGAATTGTTGAAATCTTTCTGGAACCGGGCATTTTTCAAATCTGTTTCTGCACCAGTTTCCCAAATTCCAAAACATTGCTGTTATCTGTGGAGAGGATCTGTATGGAAATTCAGCATCCTTGTACGTTGGGTCTGATAGGCCTCCACCTAAATACCTGTAAGCCAAGCTATGCAAGATCATACAGTAAGGCAAGACCTTGTGTTCCTCAACGTAATCTTGGAGTACCTTTGTGAGATTTCCAAAATCGTCATCAATCCTCTGTTCTGCTTCTTTTGAGGATCTTTCTGCCTTGTCTTGATGAAGAGGATGCATCCTTGGATCACTACAACCATATTCAATGCGCTGATTAAGTTCTTGTAATTCTAGTTGTGGATCCTGATTCTTGTGTCTGGCAATGTACTCAACCATCAACTGGTCATCTGTAAGATGGTACCAAAAATCATGATGTGGAGACATGGTCTTCCTGTACTTAACGTGCCAAAACATATGTCGATGCTTCGAAGACGCTGGATAACCTTTGTTGTAAAATCCTGCCCATTCACCATGGTAACCATCTGAAAAACAATCCTTCAATTTTCGAAAAACTGAATCATCTTCGTTTCCAGTGATATCTTGACCATAGTAAAGTCGAATTGCAGGTTTCACTTCAGGAGCTGTCTCATCATCTTGAATGTCTGTCTTTTTCTCCCCTGATTCCTCCTTCTCTGAGGAGCGTTCAGGTGGAGCTGATTCCTCTTTCTCTGAAGAGCCTTCAGCTGGGACATGTGGCTCCTGTGTGTCTTTTTCTTCTTCTTCTTCGACAGCAATCTCCTCATCTTCATCCTCTTCTTTTTCTTCTTC